ATCTTTTTTATTATTAAAATGGTCATTTAGATGGGTATGGTGGCGTAAGCCCGTAATCCCAGCCAGCACTCAGGAGGCTGAGGCAGGAGGATCACCTTGAGCTCCAGGCCAGCCTGGACTACATAGTGAGACCCTGTCTCAAAAGGCAAACAAACAAATAAGATAGTTATTTAAAACTTTCTATCTTTGCACAGGCTTTTTGAAAATATATTATTGAATTCTTATGTCCGTTCAGAAACTGTGAGACTTACTTTCAGCAAGAAATGGAAAGGTGGGTCACACCAAAACTGCAAGGCTAGGCGTCCACCATCCCCTCCAAGCCATCCACGTTTTACCGCCACTTAATCATTTTCCAAATTCGCAGATCTAAAGTCCCTGCTCCCACCAAAGAAACCTGAATTTCAGGTTTGTGCTACTAAATTACTTTGTACTTCAAAGAGAAAATGCTGCAGTTATGGAAGCGATCAGACCTGGCCCACTGACCCTCTGCAGCAAATGACAAGGTCACACACGCACAACAGCACTTGGTTTAGGAAAAGGCAGAGGATGGTGGCCTCATTCTTATGGACAGTTCCTCCCAGCTTTCAAACATGTGCCACGAATGTGGTGCGACCCAAAACACTGCCCTTGGAGCCTAACTCCAGTCCTCTTCTTATTTCCCCACCCACACGGACCCCTCACCTCCTCCCACAGGTTAAATGTGTCCCTGACTGCCGGGCGCATCATGTACCCTTGGCAGCAGCTCATGCTCTATACGAGGCTAAGAATGTCTCCCAGCCCACACAGGGTCCTCCGCACTGTGTAGTCCGGGCTGGCCTCGAACTCAAGGTGATCCTCCTGCCTCAGCCTCCTGAAACAGGGATCCTGCCTTGGTCATCGAATAGAAATCACTGAATAATTCTGTCTTCTGTGGACACACAGCTACCACATCTCCATGGTGCCCACACCTTATGGAATCCTGACTTCACAGGTGCAGACAGGAAGGCTTTGAAACATTAAGGAAATTCTCAAATCCATCTGGGGAGCAGAATGACATCGTAGAACTTGAATACTCTGTTCTTTTTTTTTTTTTCCAAAGAACACAAAGAGCTGATATTATTCCATTTTCTACCATAGTGACTTTTACAAGATTTAAAAGATACACCATAAGCCGGGTATAGTAGCGCACACCTTTCATCCCAGCACTCGGGAGGCTGAGGCAGAAGGATCCTTGCGAGTTCAACAAGTTCACTTTGTAGCCAGCCGAGCTCAAGGCCAGCCTGAACGGCATAGCGAGACCCTCTCTCAAAAAGATGAAAAAGGGGTGGGGATATAGCTCAGTGGTATAAGCACCTGCCTGGCAAGCACAAGGTCCTGAGTTCAATTACTGATGCCACAGGGAAAAAAAAATAAATAAATAAAAAAGACAAAAAAAAAAAAAAGATACACCACAGTTCCTCTCCCCTGAGAAATCCCCCCAAATTTCTTCTGGTTGCTGTGAGTACAAAAGAAATAGCAGTTTGACATTCAGATAATGCCCCACTAGAGTTTCGCTTAGTGAAGTGTAAGCTCTCCACGGACAGGCACATTCTCGAATTTACCCCTGTACTCCCCTCTGGTGCCCTAATATCGACTCAGAAATGACAAGGACCCAATAAATACGACCAAAGCAACAGACTCTAACCCTGGAGCATCTGACTGGGAACTCAGTTATCGGGTGCTGCAGCCAAGGTGCCCCAAGAACACCAGGGGGCTCCTAGGACCAGGTACAGCCCCAAGTCAGCCACCCAGTATCCTGGGAGTGAAGGATGAGGATATTTTTCCTCTCTCCCCCAGCTGAGGGTAACCTGGTAAAGTCCCGGGAGGCGACAGCTACACTGTAGATCAGGTGCACAGAGCAGGAGGGATGTCCCGTGTCAGACGAGGTATTGGGTTCATTTCTCCCATTTTCTCTGGACTCAGTGCCGGGACACAAGAAAACCCCAATTCTCTTCCAAACAAACCAGGCCGTTAAGATGGCTCCGGCTCCCAGCCGCAGAGCCAAGGTGTAGCTGCCCCGGTGGAGGCACAAGGTGTCCGTGTCTATCAGAAAGGAAGCTTCCGCATTCCTGACCCAAGTTTCCCTTCCTGGAGGCAAAAGCCGCCTCTCTGTTTTTAGGCACAGGAGAAGATACCTGCAGCTTCGCTCAGGTGTTCAACAGGTGGACAGCGAGATACTGTTGCTGCACAGCTGGCCTGCATCTAAGTCACGCTCTTAGCATGTCACCGGCACCCAGCTCTGCAACAGTATCGCAGTGAGTAAGCCTGTGAGTCCCTCCCGCTCCCCTGATCGCTGCAACAGATTACAGCTGGGGAAACAAAGAAGCCACAACTCGGTGTGGAAGTCCCACGTCTACAACAATAATTGGCAAATGTTGCCAGGGCTGCTCATAATTACCTATCAGGCAAGGCAGGCGTGTCATGGCCACCTTAGACCGAGGACTCCGTAAACCCAGGAGCCCAGATCTTAGCATTCTAAAGTGCGCACGTACACACGTGCGCGCACACACAGAGGGATGACATCTCCTTCCCAAAGCCCTAGTTCTCAAAGATAGCATGAGGCCAGGCAAGGGACAATGTGACAAACAACCCCACAACCTACGGAGGCCAGCAGGCACCAGGGTCTCACCAGCGGAGCCCAGCTAGCCAGCTGCCCAAGAAGTGGCCTTCAGTTTTCTGCCCAGGACCAAAACAGCAGCAGCTGTTGCCAAGGGAAACATGGCGACCAAGAGATGCGGGCGCGAAATCTAAGCATGGAAACTCACTCTAGATTCACACCCAAGCAACTGGGGCTGTCTAGCTGAGAAAAGGTGAAGGAAAAGTTCAGATCTGCTCAGGGCTTGGGCTGTAGCTCAGTGGTGGAACACTTGCCCAGCGTGAGCAAGGCCCGAGTTTAATGCCCAGCACAGACGACAAAGCCCTTCCCAAGGTGCAAAAGACGCCCGGGTCCTGGTGAGAAGGCCACAGGAAGCCGGCTGGTACTTGAGAACCGTTCCGAGCACTCACACGCCTCATTCTTGGGGGGCTACAAAAGGGGAACAGGTAGGCCAAAGCTCTGCCCCTGCCGAGGCAAACTGCTTTCCCCAGGGCAAGGGAAGCAAGGCCTCCCCCACAAACTGTCACCGGCTCAAAGGTTTAGCAGGAGCCACCTTCCCAGCAGAGAGTCACACGGTCCAGCGAGCTCAGGGGAGCAGGAAGAGCGGGTCAGTCAGGACACCAATCGTGCTGGCCTTCCCACGGGTCCCTTTCAAAGTCTGCTCAAGTTTTAAATGAGGCTGTCTGAATTCTAACTGCCTTATCTATTTTCCAGGGGCTGGTTTCCTTCTTTCTTTGAAGGACCTTATACACCATGTGAAAGTACTTTGCAAATTGTGAAACACTTTCCCACAGCTGTGTGTTTTATAATCAATACCACTTTTTTCCCCAGCTTCAATATGCAAAGCTCTCGGCTGCCCAGCACCCAGGTGGATTAGGAGCAGCCTGCCCTTACAGTCCCTTCCCCAGATGGAGAAGTATGCCTCGCACCCACCCTATCCTACCAAAAGAATGAAGAACCACAGCTGGGTCTGGCTCCGTGGTGCACACCTGCAATCCCAGCACTCTGAAGGCTGAGGCAGGAGGATCACTGCCCTGAGTTTGAGGCCATCCTAGAATACTCAGGAGACCATGTCTCAAGAAACAAAACGGAGCAAACCAGAACCAGAGCTGGGACCAAAACCCAGGCTTCTCTGGCCATCCCATCACACCATCACCCCTGAGGCCAACTCCGGTTCCCATCACAAGCCCAGGGCATCACTTTCCCCCTCTGCTGACCGCACTCACCCAGTTAGGTTCAAAAACTACTTTTAAAAATCAGTATGCCCACCATATGTGGCATTTACTTCCAGGAGGAGGGCAGCCTGGGGTTTCAGGGACAGATGTTGCTTTGTGCCTGCTTGTCACGGCTGGCAGCCCTCGAACAGCTGCCCCAGCAGGTGGCCCTTGATGGAGTCAGAAGCGAGGGTGACAATCCCTGCAGGGTAGGGCCCTGGAAGTCCTCTTCTCGGTCCTCTGCAGCCTGGGGCCCCAAGAGCCCGCCCCACCCCCACCCCCAGTGGCGCGCGCGCCCTTGGTTCACAATCGGACTTTAAAAGGGGGCTGCGCATGAGGCCAAGGTGCCCGCACCCCAATTCCCAGCCAGGCAGAGCTGAGCACAGGGAGGCCCGGGAGCGGAGAGAAGTCACTGACCCCTTCCACCCGCCATCTGTGAGCCCGCCCGACCTCACCAGCGCGATGCAAGGATAAAGGAGGTCGGGACAGATGGCAAAGCGCTTTGGGAAGGAGGCTCCGCAGGAATGCGAGGGCCCGAGAGAGGCCCACTTCGGGGCGGGTTTTGTTATCTGTCGGGCGCTTCCCCCTCGGTTCCATCGCCTAGCAATCTCTTAGACTCCAAGAAGGGCAAACACGGGGAGGGGGGCGGTGTTTTCTGCCGCTGGTCTGTCCCTCTCGGAAGTCGGAGCGCTGTGCAGCAACTAAAGTGCGTGCGTGCGCGCACAGGGGGCGGGAGAGTGGAACAACCGAGTCTAAAAATACTCGATAAAAATGCTAATCCCAAAGGCAAAGAAAGAACGAAGAAGGCATCTGTCAATCACCGGGCTCCCGCTCCTCACCCACGGCCCCAGCTGTACCGACCGCATTCCAGTCGGGGACGGAGCGGGGGGACCGAGCCGGAGGGAAAGAGGAAAGAAAGGGTCGGGCACGGCCACCTCCACGAGCGCGGGCCGCGCGCGGGGCGGGAGGCGGAGGAGGGGCTCGGCCCGGGGCCGAACAAAGCGGGCCTCAACTCCCAGCGCAGCCCGGGGGTGGGGGGACCCCCGCGGCACCCCCTTTCCCGGGGCTGGGAAAGCCCCGCGATCTGGAAGCCAGCGCGCCGCGTGGACGCCGCGGGCCCCGGATCCGGACGCGGGCACGGGCGGTGGGGGCCCTCCCTCCCCGGCGCCCACCTGGGGATGGTGATGCACTTGGTGTTGGCGCTCTGCGTGGTGATCGCCTTCTCCAGCTCGTCCAGCTGCCCCGTCTTCTTCAGCTTCTTCACCAGGCTCTTGACCGCCTTCTCGCACCACTTCTCCTCCTGCCCGTTCTGCTCGCCCTTCTTCCAGCCCAGCAGGCGCTTCACGATCGGGGGGGTGAAGGGCAGGATGGACGACATGGCGGGGAGGGCGCGCGCGGCGGCGGGGAGCTCGGCCCGGCCCGGCCGCGCGCCCTCCGCGCCCCTTCCCTTCGCGTTCCTTTCCTCTCCCCGTCTGGTCTCTTCCCTTCCTCTCCTCTTCCGTGGCCCTGGG